TGCCGAGCCCGCGGTGAGGGTGGATGACAGCTGTGCGCCCTGCAGTGCTCTCTGCCGCGGTCCCTGCCTCCCGTCCTCACGGAGCGCAGGCCTCCGAACCCCAACCAGGGACGGTCACCCCCCCACCCCCCAGCCCGGCGGCCTGGCCTGCGCCCCTGGGGTCCCCCACATTAGACGTCTGCACCCCGTGCTCTGGACCCCCGTGTGGACGCAGCTCTCCCCTCCGAGGGCACACGACCCCCAGGACCCAACGCGTCCGCACACCGTCCGCCCGAAGCGGAATTCCACCTCTGAAACGAAGGCCTCCACGTGTCTCGCTCATCGGTCTCAATCCCAGCCTGCCTCCAGCTGTGACGGCTGCCTCCAGCTGTGCTGGGCCTTTCTACTGGCCAGCTGGACCAGTGGAGTGACCGTCAAAGCTGCAGACGGCACCAGCCCAGCGAGGACACCAAATGAAAAACAAGGACTCAGACACACGCCTGCAAGTGGAAAGGCGAACTGAGCATTCAACGTGAGAGCGGGAGGTGCCGCCAGATTCTGTGCGTAACAGACGTGTCCTCACCCACTGCGCTTGATTCAAATGTCCTCAGTCGGGCTAAGTTTTTTTTTTTTTTTTAATAAATTTTTAAAGTATGTTTTTATTGCCCTAGCTGGCTTGGTTCAGCGGATAGTGTGTCGGCCTGCAGACTGAAAGATCCCAGTTCCATTCCGGTGAAGGGCCGGCGCCCGGGTTGTCAGCTCAATCCCCAGTGGGGGGCGTGCAGGAGGCAGCCAATCAATGATTCTCACTCATCGTTGATGGTTCTCTCTGTCTCTCTCCCCCCCTTTACCTTCCTCTTTGAAATCAATTAAAAAGTATAGATAGATAGATAGATAGATAGATAGATAGATAGATAGATAGATATCTGCATGCCCCCTTGTGGGGATGGAGCCCACAACCCGGGCCTTGACCAGAATCGAACCTGGCACCTTTCAGTCCCCTCTCCGCCGGCACCCGCCTCCCGGAGCTTCCAGAGAAAAACTCCCTCCACTCGGCTTTTTCATTCAAATGGCACGTTGCTCTGATTCTAAAAACTCCGCAGCGTGGGCGGCTTGAAGAGGGTTATTTCAGAAAATTGGCACCCGGGCCGCCCCGTTCACTGGATCCCCGGGCATGGAAGCATTTGGCAGGAGACAGGAACCCCACAAACCTCCGACACATGACTGGGCTCTGATTCCAAGCTCCTGGGTGCGAGCACACACAGGACCTTATTAAAACACGCACTGATCCCCTCACCGACCCAGGGTTAGGAGATAACGTCCACTGTCCAGCCGCTCTGAGAGCAGCCACCCCTTCTAGCCCCAGAAGGCTGCTCTTTTCCAGAACAACTTACTTTCTTTCTTTCTTTCTTTTTCTAAATATATTTTATTGATTTTTTACAGAGAGGAAAAGAGAGAGGGATAGAGAGTTAGAAACATAAATGAGAGAGAAACATCAATCAACTGCCTCCTGCACACCCCCTACTGGGGATGTGCCCGCACCCAAGGTACATGCCTTTGACCGGAATCGAACCTGGGACCTTTCAGTCCGCAGGCGAACGCTCTATCCACTAAGCCACACCGGTTTCGGCTGCCAGAACAACTTTCAGACATGTGACAGCCTTGCTTACAGCGTGCTGGCTCCAGAGAGAACCCAGAAGTGACGGAGCCTGGGCCTGGACTGGATAACCCGGTGGGGGGCACCCGGGGAAGGATTGGGGGACCCCAGCCCTGCGCTGGGGGGTCTTACACGAAACAGCAGAGCACCCATTTCCGGGCTCACTTCAGTAAGGATGGAGCCCTCAGAGCAAAAATGACTCCGTGGCCCGGCTGGCGTGGCCCCGTGGTTGAGCACTGACCTATGAACCAGGAGGTCACCGTTCGATTCCTGATGAGGGCACATGCCCAGGTGGTGGGTTCCATTCCCAGTGGGGGGCGTGCGGAAGGCAGCTGATCCATGATCCTCTCTCATCATGGATGTCTCCCTCTCCCTCCCTCTCCCTTCCTCTCTGAAATCAATAAAAACACATAAACACATTTATACATACAAAAAAGGTAAGGCCGCCCTAACCGGTTTGGCTCAGTGGATAGAGCATCAGCCTGTGGATTCAAGGGCCCTGGGTTCGATTCCGGTCAAGGGCACGTATCTTGGTTGCGGGCACATCCCCAGTGGAGGGAGTGTGCAGGAGGCAGCTGATCGATGTTTCTGTCTCATCGATGTTTCTAACTCTCTATCCCTCTCCCTTCCTCTCTGTAAAAAATCATTAAAAAATCTTTTTTAAAAAAAGGAAAGGTCACCTCGGATGGGTCCCCTGTCCTGAAAAGCCACCTGGGGAGGAGGGTGCGGTCAGGACTGCTCCTCAAAGCGGACAGCCCTGGCGAGGCCGGTGGGCACCCTGCTCACGGCCCCACGTCACCCCCCATCCCGGGGTCAGGAGCTGGATGCTAAATGGCAGCGCTCCCTGCGGACCTGTGCCCGGGTCCTAGGGCCCAGCTGCTGGGTCCCGTGTCTGACAGGTGACTGCCTCCCAGGTCGCCATCAGCCTGGACACCCTGTGCGTGGTCAGCTCCCCGCACGGACGTGCCTGCAGCCCCTCGGCCTGGGCTTCCTGCACCCCCACAGGCACCGCGGGGACCCTCTGGACACCTTCCTTAGCACTCCCTCCCCCAGGAAGTGAAAGTGGGGAGACAGGGACGGCCGAGAGGATGAGGAGTTGATATGCTTTTGTTTTGTTCCTCTGGGGGAGCGGGTGTCTGCAAAGTGCTCAGGACGGCGGGCAGGGAGTCAGCCCTCTGCCCAGGTGCCCGCTGAGCAAACACGGACCCGCCGCCTGTGCGTCTCCCAGTACGGGAGCTACTACAGAGGGGTGAGCGTGGGGGACCGGGGGCCGTGTGGGGGACCAGGGGGCCGCATGGGGGACCAGGGGGCTGTGACACATCCAAGGGCATCTGAGGCGTGCATTCTGATAACATGTTGGCAATGCAACCCGGGATACCAACTTAGGAGGCAAACATCTCCGATCCAGATCAGCGTATAAGATTCCAGGCGATGAATTACAGAGACGCCCTGAGTTCCTGGGCGCCTTAGGATAACCATCCATCGCGGGAAGTGGCTGCGCCCGCAGCCCTCGGAAAACACAGTAACGGGCACAGTGCCAGCACCGCGTACAGGGTATTTTATTGATTTTACAGAGAGGAAAGGGAGAGGGATAGAGAGTCAGAAATGTCAGTGAGAGAGAAACATCGATCAGCTGCCTCCTGCACACCTCCTACTGGGGATGTGCCTGCAACCGAGGTCCATGCGCTTGGCTGGAATCAAACCTGGGACCCTTCAGTCCACAGGCCGATGCTCTATCCACTGAGCCAAACCAGCTAGGGCACGTCTCCTTTTAAGACCCGTCAACCGCCCTGGCTGGTTTGGCTCAGTGGATAGAGCGTCAGCCTTCAGACTGAAAGGTCCCAGGATCGATTCCGGTTAAGGGCATGTACCTCGGTTGCAGGCACATCCCCAGTGGGAGATGTGCAGGAGGCAGCTGATCGATGTTTCTCTCTCATCGACGTTTCTGACTCTCTATCCCTCTCCCTTCCTCTCTGTGAAAAATCAATAAAATATAAATAATAAAAAAGGAGCCATCGACCTCTCAGACATGACCCGTGTACACCACACAGCAGGCATTTGGTGGTTAATCCTCACCCAGGAGTATTTTCCCATTGATGTCCAGGGAGAGTGGAAGGGATGGAGGAGGGAGGGCTGGGGGGAGGGGGAGGACAGAGACACAGCCATGGATGAGAGAAAGTCACACTGATTGGCTGGCTCCCACGGGTGCCCTGACCGCCCTGACCAGGGCCAGGAATGGAGCCTGCAAACCAGGTACTGGCCCTTGGCTGGGAATTGAACCTGGGACCCTCCTGGGCCGGTCAGCACTCTAACCACTGGGCAGCGCCAGCCAGGGCCCAAGCAGCTCTTTTGCCAAGAACCCCCAGGCGGTGGGTCAGGGCTGCAGGGAGGGCGCCGCCGCCCAGCGATGCCGGGCAGGCGGTGACCAGACTGACCAGGCTGATCTGAAGGGGCGGGCAGCCTGGCGGGAGGTGCGGACACCCTGCTGGTGGGCACACAGCGGCCTGAGCCTCCCCGGGGTTTTCCGTTCCGGCCGGAGGGGCGCCAGCGGGAGGGGCACCCACACAGGCAGGAGGGCGCCGGGCAGCGGGGCCCGAGCCTGGGCCCGAGCCTGGGCCAACCTCCCACCCACCGCCCCCCGGGGCGGCCTCCCCACGGCGGTGACCCCGCCTCCCGGCGCCCAGAGCGGCAGCCGCGGCCACCGGACCGAGCGGACGTCCTTCCGCCGAGGAAGCGCGAGCGCCGGAGCCCCGCTCCCTCCTCCCGGAGAGGCCGCCGGCGGGCGAGGCCCCCTGCAGCCGGGGTGACCCCAGGAGGCGGCGCCCGGGGGAGGGAGCGGGGCTCCGGCGCTCCCCTCCGCCCTCCCCTCCGTCCTCCCCACCGTCCTCCCCGGCTCCCCCCCGCCGCCCCGCGGCTCCGGGACTTCCTCAAACTCCCGGCTCTGCGCCTGCGCGCCCCCCTCATCCTGCCCCCCTCATCCTGCCCCCCACCTCACCCCCCACCCCCCACACCCCACCCGGGATCCCGGCCCCTCGGGGAGGACACTGGGGGGCCGCGCGCCAGGCTCCCGGGTCCCGGCGGCGCCAGGAGCGGGAGGAACGCGCCGTCCCCGGGGCGGGGCGGGGAGCCCCCGACCCCCGGGCCCCCGGCCTCCGGGCCCCCCGACCCCCGGGCCCCCCGACTCCTGGGCCCCCGACCCCCGGGCCCCCGACCCCCGGGCCCCCGGCCTCCCGGCCGCACGCGTCCCAGCCGGACACACGCAGGACCGGGCGGCGGCCGCTCCTCCGCGCGCTCCCGCAGCGGGGCCCCGGCGCCTCCGCCCCGCATTGTCCGCCCGCCCGGCCGCCCGCCCGCCCGGCCCTACCTCCGCCAGCAGCGCCAGCAGCAGCGCCGCGGCGCCCGGGGGCCGGCGGCTCATGGCTCCGCGCTCCGGGCGCTCCCCGCGCTGGGCCGGCGGCGGCGCCGGGACCCGCCGCCCGCGCCCCGCCCCGCGCCCCGCCCCCGCCGGAGCGCGCCCGGCGCGCGCCCGCGGCACCTGGAGCCCCGCCCTGGGCGGGCGCGGCCCCGCGATGGACCTGCGGACCCCGCGATGGGCCTGCGGACCCCGAGAGGGGCCTGGGGACCCCGCGATGGGCCTGGGGACCCGAGAGGGGCCTGGGGACCCCGCGATGGGCCTGGGGACCCCGCGATGGACCTGCGGACCCCGCGATGGGCCTGGGGACCCCGAGAGGGGCCTGGGGACCCCGCGATGGGCCTGGGGACCCCGCGATGGACCTGCGGACCCCGCGATGGGCCTGGGGACCCCGCGATGGGCCAGCCGGGCTCCGGAGGGCGGGGGAGCCGCCGGGGTCTCCTCTGTGGGGGCCGCCCCGTCCCTCCAATAGACCCGGAGGCTTTTCAGAGGCGCACAGCCCCTCGGGGGGCACACCCGCGGTGGCGGTCCCCGGGGCCATCGCTCCTCCTCGCACCGCGGCCTCGGGTCCCCCCTCCCCGGGTTCCCGGGACCGCGGGGCGGGCGCCTCCCGCACGTGACGGCAAGGACGGCCCAAGGGCGAGGAGGGACGGCGGCCCGGCTCTGGCCCACGCTCCCCCGGCCCGGCCTGGTCCGGCCCTCACCGCCTCCCCCTGGACTCCACCTCCCACCCCGCCCACCCCGCCCCGCCGTGTGGTGTGCACACGGGGCTCGGCTCCCATCTCCTCCTGCGGTCATTCCACCGGCACTGGGGGCACTGGGGGCACTGGTGCCCGAGCCGGAGCTGGCAGCCCCGGTGCAGGGAGAGGGGAGCTCTGATGCCGGGCTGATGCAGGCCCCGGCGGTGGGCACGGAGGGCACGGAGGGCACGGACCTGCCCGGACGGTCTGTCCTGTAGGGACAGCTGTCAGCTAAGGCCAGCCCCACCCTTCCCAACCTTCCGGCGAGAACTCACCGGGTGGCCATGCCACAGGCACCTGGTCTCCGCCTGCTGGCACCAGAACTGCAGGTGAGGCGGAGCAGGTGCCCTCACCACACCCGCCCCGCCCCGCCCGCGCCTGCCCTAGAAGCCCCAGCCTCTGGGCCCCAGAAACGGACTGTTTACAAACCGGGCGCCCCACGCACTGTGAAGGGCAAAGTTAACTTGCAGGAAACTGAGCCGGAAGCCTTGATGTCCAATGGAGAGGCAGACGTTTTAACCCACCCACACACCCACACACACACACACACACACACACACACACACACCCCGCTGGAGAGGGGCACTGTCTCCTGTGAGAATGTGAATGACCCTCTCACAGGCCAGGCCAGGCCAGGCACAGAGCCTTAGCCAGCTTTCTCCTGAGTATCAGTGCCTCTCCCCTCCACGGGCCGTGTGCCGGGCAGGGGCCGCATTCCTGGAGAGTGGATTAGAGCACGGTGTGGCAGGGTCCATGGGACGCTGGTGGCTCGGTGCTGTCCACGGGGAAGACCCACCCCGGGAGGGTTCCCGGGGCAAAAGGAAGGATTGAGAAAGCCCAGCGCTTTCTCTGCTGTCAAACCAGCGATGGTGAGTCCCAGGCTGGGGTTTCTGCCCCCGAAGCCAGAGGTCGCTGTTCTGGCCCATCACCAGCTGGGGCGTCCCGGACGGACAGACGGCCAGCCGCAGGGTCCTCTGAGGCTGCATTTCCTGGGGAGGCCTCCGCAAGGCGGCTCCCTTTCGCCCTCAGAGCGTCCAGGTCAGAACGCCTGGGGTTGGAACATCAGCCATGGCAGCAGGTAAAAGTCCACCCGGCGTTTAATAGTTCCTGTCCCAGCGGTGTGGCTCAGTGGATAGCGCGCAGATCTTCAGACTGAATGGTCCCAGGTTCGATTCCAATCAAGGGCACATGCGTGGGTTGTGGGCTCAATCCCCAGAGGGGCGTGTGCAGGAGGCAGCCAGTCCATGATTCTCATCATTGATGTTTCTCTTCCTCTCCCTTCTGCTCTGAAATCAATAAACATGTATTAGGAGGAGGAAGAGGAGGAGGAGGAGAAGGAGGAGGAGGAGGAGGAAGGAGCAAGGCCTAGTTAGGTGCCCAACTTGGTGGCCGGGAGAGTAGGAGCTGGGGAGGGTCAGGGGAGGGAAGGCACCTCGGTGAGCAGACAGCAGGGGGCTGGACTGCCCGGGCAAGCATTCTGTCCCCATGGCCTTCACCATCTTCTGGTGCCCTTGCAGCCTGGTAGCTGCTGCCCAGAGCAGCCCCAGCTGCCCCAGGTCTGAAGCCACCGCTGCCTCTCTAACACGGCCTGTTAGCACTGCCGCCTGCCTCCTTCTGAACTGCCCTCCTTCCCCTGAGAGCGTGGGCACCAGTGTCCCGTTAGTGAGCAGCTCCCGTTGCAAACGGAGGCAGTGCGGCCGCCTGGAGACCCTCCCTGCCTGCTGCCATCACACAGACAGCCCGACTGGCCCTGAGGGTGCCCGGAGGAGCAGGGCAAAAGTCACTGCGCCAAGGCCAGCTCCGGGGAATCCAGTGAAGCTTGAGGCTCCCGCTGAGCAGGGTAGTCATTGTGAACGGTTCCTTGTGACGCGCCAGTCATGGGACAGAACCTGGACTTCCTGTGGGCTGGACTAAAAGTTTAAAAACAGGCCCTAGATCGCCCCTCCCAGGGGCCTGTCTGTCCCATTGCTGTTTCTCCGAGTCTCTGGGAAAGCGAGTCTGTTTCTGTTCATCAGTGTATGTGGTCCGTTATTTCCCCTGGATGAGTGAGATCATGTGACACTAGAAATACACTTATGAGAACCGAAAATGAGACAAGCCATAATGGTTATGCTGAGAGGCAAACAAATCCGTCTGTAGTGAGCTCCTTTCTGGGCCAACAGTTCTTTTGAGTCCCCATTTCTATGTCAAACAGTTCCTTATGTGTACATGTCAGCCATGATGAACAAAGACAGACCTGGAGACAGGGAAGCATCGATCAGACTGTCAAACCTCAGAGGGAAGGCAGGGGAGGGTGGGGGTAAAGGGAAGAAAGAGATCCACCAAAGGACTCGTGTGCATGCATGTGAGCCTAGCCAGTGGTCACGGACAAGGGGCTGGGGCACAGGTGGGAAGGGTTTGGGATGGGAATGGGGCGGATGAATGAGGACACAGATGTGATACCTTAATCAATAAAAAAATTGGGGGGGGGAGGGGAGTGAATCTGAGCGCCCCTGAGGGAACGTACAGCCACTCAGAAGTGGATGCCGACTCATCAATATTAGAGAAGTTTGCTGGGCAGGGGCCGGGGAGGTCAGGACAGAATGCTCCCGTGGTCTGGGTGTGGGAAATCTGCCGTGTCCCGCGTTTGAGAAGCCACAGTGAGAGCACGTTTTCCAGGGGTCCGCCCGCTGCCTCTGTCCCTGAGACAGTCTGAGGCCCGTGCAGGAGGCCTCCTCCTGCAGGAAGGGTCCGGAGGGAAGGAGCCGGGCACAGTCCGTTTCCTGAGCATCCACGCTGGAGAAATAGGCCGTGCTTCAGAATGCAAGGGGGCGGGAGAGAGCGTGCGGATCAGCCGTCGGTGTTGGGAAATGCAGGACTCACCGCTCCCCGCAACCAGGTCAAAATCACACCCAGACACATCACAACCATCACCCAGAACCACCCGAACTCTAGCCGAATGGAAGGCCTGCAACGAGGGTCTGACTGGTAGGAAGGGCCGATACGCCGAAAGGGCTGGTCCCACGCCCACGTGTGGGGGATAAAAATCAGGAGGGAGCCTGGCCGGCGGGCGTGGCTCAGTGGCTGCTCACTGACCTATTATTGTCTAGAAGGTCACAGTTTGGTTCCTGGTCAGAACATATGCCTGGGTGGTGGGCTCCATCTCCAGTGTGGGGTGTGCAGGAGGCAGCCGATCCATGATTCTCTCTCATCATTGATGTTTCTCTCTCTCTCCCTCTTCCTTCCTCTCTGTAATTAGTAAAAGTATAGTTTTAAAAAAATCGGGAGGCTATCTTGGCTGTGGAGGTGTCCACCCCCCTTTCCCCAGGCCCCGGAGTCCAGGGTCCCAGCACTGGGAAGAGCATTCCCCATAAATTCTGGCTGTAAAAACCCAGCAAGGAGGTGGCTGAGTGACACGGAGGCTGCTGGAGTCCCAGGCAGTTCCTCTTAAAGGGCCCAGGCATGGACTTACTGGGATTCACTCCCTCTGAGCTCCAGCCCTGGGGCAGCCGCTGGACAGGCACCAGGGACATTGGGGGAGGAACTGAATGGGTTGAGTGCTCCAATCAGAAGACCTACAGTAGCTGCTGCATAGCAAGGCCCTTCCCTATGCCGTCTACAAGAGACCGACTTCAGAGCCAAAGACACATGCAGACGGAAAGGAACGGGGTGGAAGGAGAGGTTTCATGAAAACGAAAACAAACGGAAAAGCTGGGGTGGCAGTGCTCATACCAGACAACATGGGCATGAAAACACGGTTTGCAGGAAGAGCTCCACACACATTGGCTGAACACACGGGGCTCTCTCTTTTGACCTCGCCACACCACGCCACGTGGCTACGAGCCAATGCCCGGAGGCAGCCAGCTCGCTCACCCGCCCATCCCGGTCATCATGGGGGAAATGAGAGTCCAGGTTCCATTCCCCCGAGCTGAATCTCTTTTATTGAAAAGAAGATCTGTCATCATCCGGTTCCCGGGGACAGGAATGCCCTCACTCATCGGAGGAGCGAACAAAGTCGTGGGAGGCCCGGGACCTCCCTGGGGCCTTGGCCTTGCTCTGGGGAGGAAGCACTTTGGAAGGAGAACTGGCACCGGGCCGACCCTCCGGCTTCCTGTTGGTTGTCCTTCAGGCCAGCCACCCCTCAAAAGGATAGGCCGTGAAATGAGTCCCTGCGGCTGCTAGTCCCACCGCTGGCCCTGCGGTGGTTCCCATCCCTGGGCAGGGCTGGCCCGGCAGGCTCTCTGCCCGGATGGTGGGCTGCCTGCAGGATTGGGGGGCTGGGCTTCTGGCCCCGCACAGGCTCGGAAGCTCGGGGCCCAGCTGCTCGGGAGATTCTCCCTAGTTCTGTGCCTCCAGCTGGTTGAGCCGCTGGACGATCATGCTGTTGAGTTTCTTGAGCTCGTCTATGTCCTCCCCCTCAGCTGCCAGTCTTCGCGACACGTTATCCATCTTGCTTCCGGTCTGAACTTCAAGATGGAAAACAGTGTTACCGGGGAGTCGGGGCCAGGTCGGCGGGCGCTCAGCCCGACAAGCCCTGGGGTGGACGCCCAGCTCCATCAGCCCGCCCACCCAGAGGCCAGGGGAGGCCGGCCCAGGACTGACGTTACCACCAGGTGACTGATTTGTACAACCTCTTGGGGCCAGCCTGCGTGACCTTGGGGCCAGGCTGTATGCCCTTGGGGCCAGCCAGTGGGGACTTGGGGCAGCCTGTGTGACCGTGGGCGTGGAGTGTGTCTGGAGCCACTCTGCCGGGTTGGCAGCCCAGTGCTGCCAGGAGCACATGGGGGCTGAGTTCCCTGCCCCATGGTCCCTCATCAGGGAACGGTCAGTGCCCGGCACCACCTCGAGGGCAGAGCAAGGACTTCAGTTACTGAATTTGGTCTCAACAGAGTCGTTGTTCAATAAAAAGAGACTTTTTTTTTTTTTGCGTCTTCTTTCTGCTTCTTAATGCGACTTTGTCCCCAAGAGAACACACTAGAAGGGAATAGAAAACAAACCCTCTCCATACAAGAGGCGCATGATGGTGGCACTAACACGTGTGGTCTCTGATGCCGTTCCGTCCCGATCTGGCACGTGTTAGGTGTGTGGTCGTGAGCACGTTCATTCCTCTCCCTGAGCCCGCGTCTCCACACTGAGCACACGGACACGCAGTGCTTAGGCCACTGACTGGGACGGAGTGAGCACCCAGCAGCATCCTAGGAGCTTCATCCTCCATCCTACTGCCTTCATCCCACCAGCATTGGCTCAGCCAGACACTGTACGGGGCCAGGAGCCCTCGGGTTGCCCCCGGCTGCAGGCACACCTCACAGTTCCTGGCGTGGAACCCCTCACCATCCCGTGGGGGTGGCAGGGTCGGAGGGGAGCACCTGTTTATGTGGGGGCAACCTTTCTTTAGAGTCAGGAACTGCCTGGGACTCTTCACTACCGACCCGAATTCATGGACAAATCTGAGCACTGGGTTAGAAGACCTGGAAGGAACCGGAGTCAACAACCCACCCCCTGACCGCCAGGCTCCCGGAGGGACCAGAGGCTGTAGAAACGCCTGGCTTCCGAGTCTGTGAGCCTCCGGTCCGGCTCGCTCTGCACCTTCGCCGAGCAATTAAACACCAGCTACGAAGAAGTGCAAGGAAGCAGAAACCAGTGTGGCTCAGTGGATAGAGCGTCGGCCTGCAGACTGAAGGGTCCCGGGTTCAATTCCGGTCAAGGGCATGTACCTTGGTTGCGGGCACATCCCCAGTGGGGGGCGTGCAGGAGGCAGCTGATCGATGATTCTCTCTCATCGATGTTTCTAGCTCTCTCTCCCTCTCTGTAAAAAATCAATAAAATATATTTAAAGACGAGAGAGAGAAGTGCAAGGAAGTGCACGCCGGCAATGCCATCGGGGGTACTTACTTATGAGGAAGGTCACCAAGGCGACCAGCACCAGGCTGACCATCAGCGCCAGGACCAGCCCCAGGAAGAGCAGGCGGGAGCGCCCATCGGCGGAGCGAGAGCCAGCCTCGGGGATTTTCTCCTCCGGCGCTAGCACAGAACAGCAGGTGTCACAGAGGGTCCCCCTCCAGCCCCTTCTGTCCCCCCCCCCACCACACACACACACATACACACACACACACACACACACACACACACACACACACACACGGCTAGTCAGCGGAACTGGGTGCGACCGGGGACCTCATCACTCTGCAGAGGTGTAACCGGACAATCAGGGGCCCCTGCCGCTGTCCCCACGTGAGCCAATTAAGCTAAGGTGACCTGACGTCCTGCTTTGGGCCGGACAGTCCCGATTTTTAACCATTTGTCCCGAGTCCCAAGGCGTTTTTCGGGACTTTTTTAAAATGCCTCGGGACGTCTGGTCACCTTAAATTCAGCAGACAGGGCTGCTTACCCTGTCCCTCCTCTGTCACCTCAACAGCTTTGCTTCCTAATCCCTTTCCCTGAGACCAGCTGCGGGTGGAACAGGTGAAAACTGGCTGCTTTAAGGGAAAGAGAAGCGGCATCTGGAAGGAGCCCGGAGCAGCTGCTGGTGGGCGCGGCAAGAGCTTAGAGCACAGGAGGCCAATGCCCGCAGTGACCGCGCCATGCGGGGCAGTCAGGTGCCACCTGCAGGGGCCTTTGACGCACGGGGACAAGACAGGCCCTGGGCGGCCAGCGGACTGCTGTGCTGTGCTTTCTCTCCCCTTTCACTCCAGCCCTTCACTCAGAGCTCATCTGTAAGTAGAAAGCTGACCTTTTTGCCCAGGTTTTGCTGACTGTTTTTAGGAACCAGATGGACATGTCTCCACGTCACCCTGAAGTGTGAGGGGTCGGGAAAGGGGCGCCCGGGGCTGGCCGTGGTCGCCTCCTGGCCCCCCAGCGGCTTCTCAGACAGGAGCTCCCTCTCCGAAGCCAGGAAAGCCGTTCGCTGGCCACTGGCTTTCTGGGAGCAAGAGCACGGGTGGCCCAGTGGTCCACCATCTCTGCAGCAAGCGTTTGAGGCCCCCCTCGCCCTCCCGCCCCAGCCGGAGAGCAGCCGCTGTTCCTAGGGGCCCAACCAGGGGAGCTGGGAGCCCACGGCCCAGGAGCACACGTACGGAGCAGGTGCTGGGACCCCTCGGGGCAGAAGTTGAGTTTGTGCAGGTCGTTGATGGAGTCCACGACGTACAGCTTCCTGTCCTCGGGGACGGGGATGCTGCGGGCGCCCGGGTCCCGGGAGGAGCGCTGCATGGTCCCTGGAAGAGAGCACCGTCAGACCCAGCTGGAGGGCCTGGCGCCTGGCCGGAGAGACAAACCCGCAGAACCCCGCCCCCCACCCCCTACACACACACACACACACACACACACACACACACACACACACACAGTATTTCCAGTGGCAGGTCCGGGGAAGCCTGCTTGTCTGGGGAAAATGTCTCCTTTGGGGACACCTTCGCTGTTACCTGCATCTTGCTCACCAGGAGGTGGAGAGGCTGGTGGGCAGCGCCTCCTATTCCCTACGCATCTGCTCGCTCTGCCTTCTCCTCCTTCTCCTCCTCTGCTTCCTCCTCCTCCTTCTCCTCTTTCTCCTCCTCCTCCGGATCCCCAATTCTGCCTGTATTTCTCCGAGTCCCCCCCCCCCTTTATTTTGTAATTGATGATAAAACATTTCCCTTTTATCATATTGTTCACATTTAGGTGAGATGTCGCAAATCCTTTGTGGACAAAGATCATGTCTAAACATCAGGGAAGATCAAAGGCAGCTGGCCCGAAGGGGAGATTATGACTGTCAGCCCTTCTGGTCGCAGGAGGTTCCGGTACGGACCGCCATGTCTGTGTTCTCCCTCGGGATGGCCTGTGAGACTCTGCCTAACGTGTGCTCCTTTCTTTCCTTTGTATTGAACTTATTGGGGTGACCCTGGGTAATAAAATTACACAGGTGTCAGGTGCTCAGTTCCACAGCACGTCTGTGTGTTCGCCACCCCGACTCAGGTCTCATCTCCCTCCCTCACCATTTACTGCCAGGAACCAATTCCAGTGTGTCATAATTACAAGAGTTTCATCAAAAGGTTGATGAAGCTTGGGGGGGGGGAGTGTGGTGGTGGGGGGGCGGGGGCTCAGCAAGGGCTGAGGCACATCTACAGTTTACCTGTTGGAAGGGCTAAAAAGCATCTCCCCCAAACCTGAATAGGATTGTCTGCTGCCAGACAGCTCAGGGCATCTTAATCTGCATGTGATTGCCTCCTGTTGGCCAAACACCTGAACAGCTGCAGGCTATTCCCCAAACTGACAATGCTTCTGTAAACCCTACCCTTTGAAACCTTACCCTTTGAAGTGTGTTATCTCCACCTTGCCTTAGGGAAAATTGTGTTAATAAAAAGCACGGGTCCTTAGTCAAGGGGTAGTCTTTAGCTCCTTTAGCTGAAGCTCCTCTGACCCCCCAATGCCTTTCAAAACTATCTTTCGTCTTTGGCCTCCTTATTGAATCTACACGAAGTTCCTTTCTCCAGATTTCTGAACCCCTTTGTGATGCTGGGACAAGAACCCCAGCATCACCGAAGCCAGTTTGGCTCAGTGGTAGAGCGTCGGTCTGCAGACTGAAAGGTCCCAGGTTCGATTCCGGTCAAGGGCATGTACATTGGTTGCAGGCACATCCCCGGTAGGGGGTGTGCAAGAGGCAGCTGGCCAATGTTTCTCTCTCATCAACGTTTCTAGCTCTCTATCTCTTTCCCTTCTTCTCTGTTAAAAATCAATAAAATATATTTATTAAAAACAAAACGAAACAAAACAAAAACCCAGCATCAATGGACACCCACCCAGGGGCTCCAGTAGTTTCTCTCTCTATACCTTCCTCCACCTCCTCCCTCCCCCGCAATCATCACACTGCTCTCCGTGTCCACAAGTTTTTCCTTTCCTTTTCTTTTTTGTTCAATCCCTCCACCACCTACCCCCTTCACACCCCCCAGTCAGCTGGCTATTTACGAGTCTTTCTATTTGGCTTATGTGTTCGTTAGATCCCACCTATAAGTGAGATCACGTGGTACTAGTCTTTCTCTGAGTGGTTCATTTCACTTGGCATAATGCTCTCCAGGCCCCTCTGTGCGGTGACAAAGGGTTAGATGTCCTTCTTTTTTACAGCTGGGCACTGCCTCATGGTGTAATGTCCCACAGCCTTTTTATCTACTGGTGGGCACTTAGGCTGCTCCCTAATCGTGGCTGCTGTGACCGTGATCTGCAGCCAGCGGTCCCCAGGACAAACCTGAGAAGCTGAGATCGACAGAGGAGCCCTGTGTCCGTAGGAAGTGACCCAGGACCCCCCAGGTGCCTTCCCGAGTTTCCTCGGACAGAGGCTCTGACGCCCTAAGCCCTTTCCAGGCTGAGGCGCACACCACAGGCAATCTTCCCAAAGGACAGCACGGCTTCACGCAACACTGAAAGCCCCAACGGGCTCAAGGCCTGTTTGAAGATCCTCTCTGGCAGTCTGAGGCCTTGTGGGCTTTGAATTCATTATGTGGAAAGAAGGCATCCGGCTGGTGTGGCTCAGTGGCTGAGGTTGACCTATGAACCAGGAGGTCACCGTTCCATTCCTGGTCAGGGCTGGAGTTTCAGGCTCAATTCCCAGTAGGGGGCGTGCAGGAGGCAGCCCATTGATGAGTCTCTCTCATTATTGGTGTTTTTATCTCTCTCTCCCTCTCCCTTCCTCTCTCTGAAAACCAATAAAAACATATTTAAAGTACCTCTGCTCGTTAAAAAAGGTGAAAGTAGCCTCATATAGCACAAAGGGGCCTCAGAGCCACTGATGGTTACCCTTTTACAGACGAAACCCAAGTCCTGGCCGATGTCAGGGGCACAGGTTTCTAAACGAAGCCCTCCGAGTGTTTTAGACTTGGCTGCCTGCCTATTCTTCCTGATCCCAGAGGCAGGCCTTGGGTGAGGAAGAGAGTGTGTGAGTCACTCGAGGGTCGTCACTCCACACTCGGCTTCTCTTTGAGATTCATTCGCTTCGCTTTGGGATCCTTGACCCCGAGCTCCCTGTCCACCAGGCATGTAATTACTGTGCGTAAATCTCATGCGGGCTTCACCCATGTTTGCAGAGCAGAGGACTAGCTGGAAAGCTGTGACCACAGAAACCGCCTGGAGACCAGAGCAGCTCATACATCTCCACATTCCTGGCCTCGCCACAGACCCAGAGGGTGACTCAGCACCGCTCCTCACCCCCAGCGCCGGGACGGGGCGCAGAGCGAGCCTTGGAGTGCTTGCTCTGAGGGGAGGACCGCGCAGTAGAAAGACACTTTCTGGAGGCAGGCGTCTTTAAATGAACGGCAGCCAGCGAACGGCAAGCAGAGAACCAGTAGAGAGCTGTGTTGGGTGTGCGTGTGGCCGCCAAGATCCTGCATAGGACTCAGCCAACGCACGGACACAGGGTCACACGCCCCAACCCAGCCCCCAGCTGTCTGCCCTGGCTCCTGCTGGCTCTGGCTTCTCACAGGAGCGCATCTGGGAGCCACCGGAGGGCAGGGGGAGCCGGAGGGCAGGGGGAGCCGGAGGGCGGGGGAAACCGGCTACTAAACTCGGCACCGCACCAGCGGGGCCCTCCTCCCAGTCCCGGCAAACTTGCTAGTTAAGTAAATGATGGCTCGGCAGCCTCCTCCTCAGAGCCCTCTCCTCCCCTCTGTAAGTGGGTCCCTCAGCTAACAACGGCCGAGGCTGTGGCGTGGGAATGGTGACCACCCACAGTGAAGACTGTGACCAAGCTAGTTGTCGAGGAGACGGTCTCGCTGTATTTTCCCACGGGGCCTGTTTCCAAGCCCACAGACAACCCGGGTGCAGCGCCCGGGGATGGCTGCGCCGGCGGGTGCGGGGCCACAGGAAGCTCCGGAGGGAGTCCCACCGGCTCCTCCGGCTCCTTTTCAGAGCCTCCGCCTCGGCACAGTCAGTCTCAGCCGTTTCTCTCCGAGCCAAAGCACGGCGCACATGCAGCCGAAGAGGCACCATTGCTCCCGGGAGCGCCGTCGCATGCACATTACTTACTGACACAGCGTGCCGGCTAGGGCACCGGGGAGCCAGTCCCCGCTGCTCAGAGCGAGGACAGGGATCTCTCAGCCCCCTCCCCGCCCCGCCGGCCTGCCAGCCGCACACCCAGCAGGAGCCGCTGCCCGGCATTCGGAGATGATCCCTGAGCACCCGAGGCTCCAGGCCCGGATCGACACCAGACACCAGGGTAGTACTGCCACCTGTGCCAGGGAAACTAAGCCGCGCCGACAGGCTCTTACTCAAGCTGACGTCCTTGTGTGGCCGCTGGGACCCTGGGGGCCGGCCCGTCTCCAGCAGGGCGGCCGGCGCGCTCCCCGAGACAAACATCCGAGCAGGAGCAGCAGCAGCAGGAGCAGCAGGCCGCCGCCTCGGCTCACACAGGCCTCGGCCCGGCTGTGCGCGGGCAGGGCAAGGTCATGACATTGGAACCAGCGATGGCAGGACTGCGGGCGCTGCTGGGAGCTACGGGCGAGGGGAGGAGTGTGTGGCTGCAGACCCACCAGGGCAGGGCAGGCAATGGAAGCACGTGTCTCTCCAGTGCTTTGCAAAGGCTGAGCTGAGCGCGCTCTCTCTCTCTCTCTCACACACACACACACACACTCTCACATTCGCTAGAGCCAAGCAGCTCTGCCCCCTGCTGGACATGGAAGGAGCCACAGTGAGACTAGCAAGGCCACTGCCTACCTACGCCAGCAGGGGCGAGGGGCTGAGGAGACAGGATGGTCTTTAGTCCTGCCTCCCATTGCTGGGAGCACAGACAGGACGTCCCTGGAACCCACCTCAGGGACGTTCGCATCCCAAAACTTCTGTTGCATCTAGTTTGGAGCCCCCTCTATCTTTGGGGCAAAGGAATGGTGCTTTGTTTTCTTTAATATATTTTTGTTGATTTCAGAGATAAAGAGGGAGATAGAAACTTCAGTGAAAATGATTGATTGGCTGCCTCTTTCTTGCATGCCCCTTACTGGGATCAGGCCTGCAACCTGGGCATGTGTCCTTGACTGGAATCAAACCTGGGACCCTTGCTGAAGCTCTATCCACTGAGCCACACCAGCTAAGGCAGAATGGCATTTTCTTAGGTGTCATCTATACCTGAGGATTAAAAAGCTCATTTTATGTGAAAAAGTTATGTTCAATTTAACAAGAGAAAATGCTTAACTATCGTGCTGTTTTAAAAACAATCTCCAAGCTCCCTGCTCTGCCTCAAGCCCTCGTCCTGAAGGGGCTCAGGGGAGCACGGCTGGCTGCTCACTCTGGAACCTGACCCCCGCCCCGGAAGGAGATGGAGACCAGGCAATTCCTCAGCCTCGTCGGGCTCCACCAGCCCCGCCCAGGTGAGCTTCTCCGGCTGCGACTGGTCAGACTTCTGTCCTCGGCTCCTGTGGACCCAGGGGCACGTGCTGCTGTGCAAGGCCCCGCCAGGCAGCTTCACCAGAAGCCCAGCCCTCACAGGCTCCCTCCTCCAGAAGCGAAGAACCCCTCAGGGCAGCCACCTAGCCAGTCCTCAGCCGGAGCCAAATCCCCGCCTTTCCACCTGTTTTCCAGGCCCCTCCCTCCCCCACCTCGTCATTCTGAACCTCAAGTCCAAAATTTTCCTCTCACAGAAAAGAAGCAGTTTGGTGTGAAAAGACCTTTATTTGGGGATAAAGAGCGCGGTGCAATGAGAGTCCCCCCGCAGTGCTGGCCCCACGGCTGGACCCCAGTGACAAGTTAAAAACACAGCAGCCCCAGAAAAACCAACTGCCAGAATTGTCTCCAGAGTTCATCTGTCTAAGATCTTAAATGCCTGTAGTAGCTGTTCATTAGGTCGCTGTGTCTGACACACCACAGTCTGTAGATTTCATCTCGGCTAAGTTTTCCTATGAAATACCCTATTTTTGCTCTCCTCATAAATAGACAAAAATGACCAAACATTACGAACACCTTCTTCATGGTTTACTGATATTTACAGAGAAAAGTCAATCATCAGAACTCACACTTGCAATCTATACATTAAATTATAAGCAATCAAACCCTTGCTACAAAAGCTATCTATGTTGATCCACGATAAAAACTGTCCACAGAGTTTAAATAGAGAAATTACAAAAGAAGAAACTGGAATCAGGGGGGTCTTCTGGGTGAAGCTAGAACTCCCCCACATCCGCTCTCTTGTCGCGACACTTGCTCCGAGCTTTCGTTCGCGCTTTGAAGGCTGCAGAATTGTATAAATGCTGCAACGGAGACAGGAAAGCATGTGTGACCCGCAGGCTTAGGAAGTTTTACAAAATGAACTAATCTGACCCCATAGATATCTTATGTTTATAAAACACACATCTACAAAAAGAACAAGGGAAATCAAACACCTACGATAGTGACTATCTACATTAAGAAAATTCCAGTGAAAAGAGTAAAAAAAAAGCAAGTGCATCAACACTGAACCTGATCAAGGAAAAGTCAAATCATGAACTAATGTGGAAAAAATTCCAACGATGCTGTCTGTCACAAAACTTAAGACGAAGCTCCATTTTAACACCAAGCAGACTGACAGTGCTACACCCCATGCAGCCCCTGCCGTGGAGTGTGGCAGCTCAGTGATCTGGCACCAAAGCAGCACTGTGTTAATATTTATTCTTAAATAAAAAGCTCCACACAGCGCCTATGCTAGGATAACAGGATAGGGCGAGAAGTCCCGCCTCCGGAGCCTGGTCTGCGCAGGGAGAACCGCCGGCAGCACAGGCGGGCAGCCGGGGCCCGGAACAGAGCAAAACCTACCCTCTCAAACCGGGAGATCTTCATCGTCTTCAGCGTGGCCGCATCCAGCATCACCGGGGGTCCCAGCTCAAACACGTGGCGGAGGAACTCGTTCGACTTGGGTCAAAGGAAAGGGGACAGGCTGGTTAGCGCCAGCTGTTCAGCTACAGGAGGCGGGCTGAGGGCAGGTGAGGGGATCTGTGAACGGGTCTTGAACCTGGCGCTACGCCCACTGTTTCCACAAAGATCTCCCTGCTCCCCGGGGGACACTTTCCCTGTCATTGCGTGTCACCCTCCTATGCTGCGGTGCCATGCTCGTCCACGCTGAGCATCCCGCACTCACCAACCTCACCCCCTCAGCAGCCCCTCCCCAGCTCCCCATTGAAGCCGCAGCGGCCTCACCTGCAGGTGGTACTGCATGCCGGAGCCCAGCACCTCCTTGAACGTGTCGTAGGTGTGCTTTTTGACCCAGCAGTCGATGTACATGCGCTCAGGACCAAACTTCACCGTCTCTGTGGGGAAATCCCGATCCTGGCCAGAGGAAAGCCAGACTTGTAAGAGGAAATGACAGGCTGAAGAGACCCCACACCAACACAGTTACACACACACACACACACACACACACACACACACACAGACTCGGCAGCAGTGCCTTTCCCCTGGGGGCAGGATGCCTCAGGGTGACAGCCTGAAAGCACCACTCGGTGTGGGTGAACTTTTTTTTTTTTTTTTTTAAATATTTTTTATTGATTTTATACAGAGAGGAAGGGAGAGAGATAGAGAGTTAGAAACATCGATGAGAGAGAGTCATCGATCAGCTGCCTCTTGCACACCCCCTACTGGAGATATGCCCGCAACCAAGGTACATGCCCTTGACCGGAATCGAACCTGGGACCCTTCAGTCCCCAAGCCGACGCTCTATCCATTGAGCCAAACCGGTCCCGGCTGGTGTGGGTGAACTTTAAAGGCAAAACCACATTGTTGTGGACGTTTCTCAACCTCAACGCCACTCAGCGAACTTGGAGAAAGTCAGGTATCTGTGCTGGCAGGAGCCAGGACATGGCGTTTCCGGAGCTGCACAGTTACAGGGAGGAGCCGCCCCACCTCAGCCCGAGCACCTGTTCCGGCCCCATTCCAACCTCACAGGCAGGCCAGGCCGGCTGAATGGCTCTTTGGTGATGCGCTTACTAAAGAACCACCTATATATCTAGACATACTTTTACCTGCACACACACACACACACACACACACACACACACACACACACAGACTGCGGTCCACAGTAAGACGGCCTTTACCCGACAGCGCGCCTTCTCAGCCCCAACCCCTCCAGGCCACGGGCTGCCGGGCAGATGGCAGAAGCCAGAGCGGGGCTGAAGCAGGGACAATAGCTTTAGGGTCCTGTTAAAATGCTGGATTTTATTTCAGCTTTTAGCACCTTCCAGCTACCGAGGGGCAGGCGATACTTTGCCATTCACACAAAAAAACACGACACTAAGGATGTTTGTGCTAAGTTCCATTGCTTAAGTCATGGCCAAGCACACCCAGTGAAATAATTCCTATCACTATGAAAATTTTTGTTGCTTAAACTTGATAAAGGAACGCCTTTACACGTCGGAGTACATTTTCTTTGTTGGGAGAGTAGGAGTCTTGCCTGGACGGTGGTGCTCAGGGGTTGAGCATCGGCCTGTGACCCAGGAGGCCACGGTTCAATTCCCGGTCAGGGCACAGGCCCCGGTTGTGGGCTCAGCCCCTAGTAGGGGGTGTGCAGGAGGCAGCTGATGCATGATTCTCTCCCATCACGAATGTCTCTCTCCCTCTCCCTTCCTCTCTGAAATCAATAAAATATGTTTTTAAAAGGAAGAAAAACGGAGGTCTTCCTTTCTGTGGCTGAAAGCCCGCTCGGTAGCGGCAGAGAGAGCCGTCTGGTCACAGGTGGGCCCGATGACCCAGGCGCCGGGCGGGACCCGCGGCCGCTCACCTCCACGGCCCGCAGCACGTCCCGGAACACCGACCGCTGCTTCCGCTTGTCCGCTTTGGCCCGGTGCTTGTTGCCGTCGGTGGCCAAGGCCCTGAGCATCTCGGTCAGAGACTCCATGTCCTCGAACAGGAAGTCCTGCGGAGACACAGCGGGTTAGTGACCGCCCCTCCCCGCGTCCCCCGGAGCCGCCGGGCCCCGTGGCTTCGCCCGCAGAGCTGCCAGGCGCTGTGGGTCCGGGCACAGAATCAGTTTCCGTCTCACGCAGCACCTAACCCAGAATCCTGGCCACCAGACGGCGGGGCCACCCAACAACCAGACCCCCACACACATCGGGCGCACTGGGAGAGGCTGCGCCGGCGGCACCAGCCGTGCTCCCGCGCATCAGTGTATCCCGTGTCCCTCCTCCCCACGCTCCCAGGAGCACACGTGTCCATCCCCACGCTCCGCAGCCCAGGAGCCTTTAGAGCTCCTAATGTATGCCGCCCTGGCAGGTTCCAAACGGGCACACCCGGGGACCACACCCCGGGGACCACACCGCGACGGAGGGTGGCCAGCCCCGCTGGGCGGGAGCCTCCACCTGATCATGAGGGGCTGCTCCTGAGCCGACGGGGCCCGGGACAGTGTCTCTATTCCGTGGTTTGTGTTTATTGTGGATCCCGTCTCACGTGTCCCCTCTCCTCCTCTGCCACCCGCGTGGCGTTCTCACCCCCCACTCCGTTTTACAGCCTCGTTAAAGAGAACAGCGAAGTCATCGAAGACCGAAGCGAGAGCAGACACAGGGGAGACGCAGGCGCCCAGCTCCGGCTTTCCTAACGCGGTGATAACCATTAACGTCCCAGTGAGACAGGCGGCTCTTTTCCTGGGCATTCTTTAAACGGTGTCTGTAACTGTTTAACCTCCAAAGTATAAATGTGATTCCTTTTAATATCCGGAATGAAAAAGAACATTACACTGCTGGAAAATGAAGTTGAAACTAAAATAACAGATATTCTAACTTGCAGGCACATAAATATTTTCTTATTGTCGATATTTTAGAGATCGAATATCATCAACTGCTCTAACAAATGGTCTCTTCAAATGTTCCAATTCAGCCTCCTATGTCTGAGTTAGCTGGAGACAACACCCATTAAGACCCGCATCTAGAGAAGCAATTACAAAGCGGATGAGGCAGTAAAGCAGATCAAAGGTATATGGATCTGTTGTAAATCCCAATAAATCGACTCCATCCTAACCAGATGGAAGCAGTCTTGCTTTCAGGAGAGAGTACATTCAGGCAGCGGCAGTTTCCTGTGTAGGTCACTGTCTACTTGTTCTTTAAAAAGAACGTACGCAAGATTTCAAATACACGTGACAGAATAAGCAGCAATGAAGAGAACTACGCATCACTCAGTTTGTCCTAAGAACGAGGGACCCTGGGGCGGGTCTCAGCACCCCCACCTTCATCCCTCCCCCCCAAGGACAGTCTCGGCTCCCAGGCAGCCATCACTGCTGGGTGCCCTGGCCCAGCAGGCCCACAGGAGGCTCTGGGTGACTCAGTGCCACACGTCCATCAGCACACTCTCCGTCAGCTCCCGTCAGTCCTCGGACGCCCTCTGACACCGCACTCCACCCTCACCCTTTCAGAAGCTCACTTCCTCACCCAAAGGAGCAGACACAACGCTGGCAAGCACTAGCCTTTGTCCCGGACAAGAACCGACCATGAAACCACGGGGCTCCTGCATGTTCACTAACCAGGGACCAAGGATGTGCACGAAGTTCCACAAACTCACACGTGCACCTGCCGCTGCACTGGTGGTCACCGTGAGCAGTACTGGAGGAGAGAGAGGAGCCGGCGGGGCAGGAGCGGAGCCAAGGTTAAACACAGACGGCGGCTGCAGGCCTGAGGTCACGGAGGGTCACGCCTGGGCAGCATCAGCCTGACCTCTAACCCACGTCGTCTCTCACAGAGAATCCGTAGCCGCTGACAGCTACCCCCGCCCCCCTGACCTGCTCTCCTTCGGAAAGGTGGTGGTGGTGGTGGTGGGGGGAGGGGCAGGAAAGGGCACCTCCAGACACAAACTCAGTCTGAACTGTTAACCCAGGCCACACGGCACGTGCAGGACGAGGGCCGCCAGAGCAGTGCAGTCCCAGTGGACTCCTGGCTGTTAATGGTTTAACCGCACAAGCTTCATTGAGGAAAGTCTCTCTTTTCTCCTTAAATTAAAGGCCTAGTAAGTAACCAAGATTCACACTGTGCCAGGAGCTTAGAGGGTGGGGACAGCTGTCCCATCAGCCCGAGGTGCGGTGTCCCAGAGCACTGGACTGAGAGCGGACCTGGACATTCCGGGATGGGGGACGCCGTCAGACACCTCCCTCCCTGTCCCCTGAGACGATGGAGGCGGGGAACCCTCACAGCACAGGCCCCAATGCAGGGCCAGGCCTGGCTCCACCGGGGTCGCACCTGCGCTGACTGACTGGACATCCGTGTCTAACACTCACGCCGCAGCACCATGCCCGCAGCCCGAGGGCACAGCTGGGTGTGAGGGGCTCCATCCCGAAGCCGCCCGCCCCCCTCTGGTTTCTGGGCTGCAAGCACCACGTGGCCCTGGCAGGTTCCAAACAAGCGCGGAGCTCCCTCCGGCCGGCTCCGGCTCCCACACCCCAGGGGGACGGCACTCACGCTGTCCAGGCCCTGGGCCAGTTCCAACAGCAGCGCCAAGGTCTCGCCGGCCGCGATCCGCATGTTCACGTCGTCCGCAGACAGGAGGCTCGGGAGCTTGTGGAAATGCCTAGAAGACAGGCAGTCATTACACCGGGAGCACCAACAGGGGCGCCGACAAACACGTTCATAAACGCAAGGCCAAGGCCACGCACGTCTCCAGCCGCTTCCTCAGCTCGCAGGCGGGGCAGGTGGTGAGCAGCAGCGCCCAGGCCAGGAGCGCGCTGACCGGGAGCCCGCCGCCCGGCGCGTCCTTGTCCTTGAGGCCGGCCCTGGAGAAGAGGCCCTCCAGGCAGTCCAGGGCCGCGTACAGCTCCTGCGGGGACAGAGCGTGAGCCTCTCTCCCTGGGACCCGGAGGGAGCCCCGCCCGCCCTCTACTCACCGTGATGTCGTCCGTGGCGATGAAACAGCAAACGCCGAAGCATGTGGCACACTGCAACAACAAACACGCCCTTAAGGCCCGCCTTCTGCATTAGCCGCCATCTTCCCGCTGCTGCCCTCAGTGAGCACCCTCTCCGCCGCACGCCCACAGCCGGCCCTGCAGTCAGAGGCGCCGCAGGACGGCGGCTAAGGGGAGGGGTGGCCACGGCTCAGGCTCTGCCGCCGAACTCTGACGTCGGGACGTCACTGCTTGGAACGTCACTGCTTCCGTTCCCCTAGAGCAGTGGTCGGCAAACTGATGAGTTTGCCCACCACTCCCCTAGTGGATCTTTGCAAACTTCAATTCCGATCACAGAGGCTTGGACATTTGGGATAAAGAAAACTACTTTCCCTATTAAAAACCTTTAATCTGTTGCTATTTTTTAAAGCTACTTCTATAGTTCCATAACAAATTTAGTGGCTTGAAACAACACATATTTATTCTCTTATAGTTCTGGAAGGCAGCAGTCTAGGCAGGGCTGTGCTCCTTCTGGAGGCGCGAGGGGAGACAGTGTCCTGGCTGGTCTAACTGCACCCCTCTGTCAGGTCCCGGGCATCGGCACACCCCTTCCATGAGCACACCCACTCTCTATTAAACACCGCTAAAGCGTTAAGTTTGCTACAGGTTTTAAAAAATCACTTATATGCATTTGTTTTAATGTAGAGTTTACTATGACAACTTCTAAAAAATAAATCTGCTTTCAAAAAATAAGCAACCAGCCGAAACCGGTTTGGTTCAATGGATAGAGCGTCGGCTTGGGGACTGAAGGGCCCCGGGTTCGATTTCGGTCAATGGCATGTACCTTGGTTGCGGGCATATCCCCAGTGGGGGGTGTGCAAGAGGCAGCTGATCGATGACTCTCTCTCATCGATGTTTCTATCTCTCTCTCTTCCTTCCTCTCTGTACAAAATCAATAAAAATATATTTAAAAAAAAAAAAAAAAAAAAGCAACAGCAGCAGCAATCTCATAAAACAAAGTAACTGTTCTCAATTTCCCCCCTAAAAGCAGCGTTTCATCAGCTCAGATCTTTCTGGTCTGGGACCCGCTGAAAGAGGAGGGGAACCCTGAGCTGCCTTTTGTCGGAGGAAAAGGGCGAAAGGAGCCAAGCAGACCCCAAGGCAGACATGGCCCAGCACACAGCGTTTCCATACAAGCGACTGCCTGCCCGCCGGGCCGCCTGAGGACAGCGCTGACCGGGAAGCCCATGGGCAGCGCTGAGAGGAGGGAGACTGCTTCCTGCCTCTCCTCCGGGCGGCACCAGACTCCCTTCTCTGGCCCAGGTCACGCCCACACACACGCTCAGAGCTCGGCCTCACCGTCTGCCGCGCCTGGGCGCTGGCTGCTCCGTCACAAATGATCTTCTTCAGGACGGGCCCCAGGGTCTTCAGAACCTCTTCGCTTTCGATGCCGGGGCCCAGCTGCACGCAGAGGACAGACGCCAGGGCCGCGGCCGCGCGCTGCTCATCGCTCTTGCCTGCGGGACAGGAGAGCTGCGACGGGCACTTCCAGGACCAGTGACGGAGGCAGGACTCCCAACACACCCACCAGAACGGGACCGTACAGGCAGTCCTGCTCCGCCACACGCGGGCTGTGACATGAGCTTCCCGGGAAACCCAGTGAAGCAGAGCTCAGCTCCGGACACTGGTGCCTCGATCAGACCCCCTGCTGGCCACGCGACCGCCCCAGTCCCTCCCCGGCGGCAGGCCCGCCTGTGACCTGCAGGTGGGTGCGACCTGAGGGGGTGCTGTCACGTTCAGAAGACAAGGAGCCTCCAGCCGGGCGAGGGCCCAGCCCCAACTCCCTCCCCAGCACGGCAGGTGCGCCAGCCCCCCGGGGAAAGGAAACTTCCGGGTCCCCGGTGGGCTGAAGACTGAAGCGCTCCTTCAGACACAGGAGCACATTCATAAAGGTGTAGGTTATGCCAGATACACTGAGAATGGGCAAGAGTGCAGGCTGGACCGGAACTGTGAAAGGTCACCGAGCTCAGCTACCTTACAGGAGACAGTTCCCATGGAAACACCTCTAACAAAGCCACCGGCTCCATAGGGACAGCTCCAGCCAAGTTCCATGAGCCTGGACAGTCTCCGCCTGGCCTTCTCCGTTCTGCACCGAGTGGGTCAGACAACGCCCACCTGCCCAGCAGCACCCCTCCCCGAGGCAGAGAGAGTCAGGAACCGAGTGCATCTCATCAACTCAGAGGAACCCGTGTTCCCATGGCGTTTGTGCTGGAAACACTCTGTCCATCCAGTCAGCATCACAGAAGGTAATTACCTCCGTAACCTTTTTACGTGGCAACATGGGTAAGGTGGCAGCCTCAAACCGTGCCAATTTGGGGGGTTCCTAAAACTGACCAGTCTGGTAACGCCAGCCTGACTCCTTCAGGTCTGTCTGGATTCTCTAAGGCCCCGTGATATGACAATAGGAATTCCAGAATCTCTAGCACAAAGTCCTAGAGTCCAAATACTCCAAGGGGTAACCTGGAAATGCCGTCAGCCACAGGCACGGCCGTTTTAAAAAGCACCAGGGAAGACGAGCTAGAAAATTAGGGCCCATTTTCAAGTTTAGGAAAATAAAGAATGGTCTTTTCAATGCTCGCTTTGGTTAGCATCTGACCCAGCTTCCCAGCCTGTCTGCCGCCCACGACAACAGCCTCCCGGGTCCGACACAACAGCAGGCCGACCCCAGCCCGAGCTCCAGGCTGCTCCCACTGGCAGCACAGCTTCTAGGGAGCCGGGCTTCCGGCGCGTTCCTGCCCACGGGGCCTCGGGGCCGTGGCGGGCGCGGGGAGGGTACCTTTCTTCAGGCAGCGCTCGATGCTGTCGGTCAGGGTCATCCTTCTTTCCAGGAGGAACTCGGAGAGCAGCTTGGAAGCCAGGGCGCTCCGCAGGCCCTCCAGGGCCGCCTGCCTGGTCTTGGCGCTGCAGAAACAAGCACAGTCAGTGACTTTCACACCGGGCTCTTTGTTTACAGATTTTTACAATCTAATTCTCATCAGCTCTAAACACCCTATCTAATAAAATAATATGCATATTAACCATGCTCTGCCACGGCCACCAGCCAATCAGGAGTAAGTATGCAAATCAAACCAACCCAACCAAGATGGCTTTGGTTTGGGTTTCCCCAGCGATGGAGGGCCTGGCCTCCACTCCAGGCTACAAAGTTTCAATTGTAGAAGATAAATAAATCCCAGATACCAGAGCCTCTACTTGGGTAGCTAGGGTATGTGACTGGCCTGCAAACCAACATAGGTCCCTCGCCCAGGCTGCCCCACACGCCAAGGGAACCCCACCCTGATCCGGAACACCCTTCAGGGCAAACCAGCTGGCCCCCACCCATGCACCAGGCCTCTATCCTATATAATAAAAGAGTAATATGCAGATTGACCATCACTCCAACACACAAGATGGATACCCCATGTGGTCAAAGATCCTGCCCTATGTGGACACAAGATGGCCAGCAGAGGAGGACAGTTGGGAGGGACGAAGCCTTCAAGGGAGGGCAGTTGGGGGCAATCAGGCCAGCAGGGAAGGGCAATTGGGAAGGACCAGGCCTGCAAGGGAGGGCATTTGGGGGCAATCAAGTCTGCAGGGGAAGGCAGTTAGGGGTGATCAGGCTGGCAGAGGAGGGAAGTTGGAGGCGACTGGGCCTGCAGGGAAGGGCAGTTAAGGGTGACCAGGCCTGCAGGGGAGGGCAGTTAGGGCAGTCAGGCTGGCAGGTGAGCAGTTAGGCATCAGTGAGGGTCCCAGCTTGGAGAGGGAGCAGGCTGGGCTGAGGAACACCTTTCCCCTTGCACACATTTCATGCACCAGGCTTCAAGTTTTCTAATAATATACTTTTCATCTGCACTCACCTTATTACACAAAACAGTTTAAGCTATTCCATATCTCAGCACTTTTCTGCTGATAGTTTGAAACCACAACTTTAAATGACTACATAGTATTTTATTATTTCAATGGGCAGGACATGCTCTCCTGTATTCCATATTCTACAAATACCCTCTACATTTAAAGTAAACACTAACACTACAAAAGTCTAAGAGTTCCTGTCTCATCCCCTGGGCTCTTCAATTCCATTGATTTTAAGCATGTTCTAGAGCTACTGGGAAGAAAATGACCAGCTTCGGTATTTTTCATGTCCCTAACAAAACTGCAAACATGAGGCTTACAGGAAGTCCAGCTGTCCTTTCTAGAACATTAGCTCTTAATTCAATATATCCATCCAGGCTGCAGTCAGACACAGTGCATTATGCTAGAACAATGACTCATCGGAGTCAATCTAAATTCTAGGGCACATTTCTACCCACATCAAAAGTCCAAAGAAACAAGAATCACTTAGACATCCAAAGTAAACAAATCAAGCTTAAAAAGCACACAGACCACATTGCTGTTAAGTCTGAGGCCTGCCCACGTGGCACAGCGAGGGTGCTGACGAAACAGCCCACAGGGAGTGTCTCCAATGTGCTCTACCTCTTATCCAGGGTCAGGTCAATAAACCCCTTCAGCTTGTACTCCAAGTCTTCTTGTGTCCCTTCCTCGTCCAGGACTTCTGGTCCTAAGAACAACAGGAACCAATCAGCGCTGTCAGTTAGGTGGCAGGAGAATTCCTCCACGGAAAGCATTCTTTGAAAGGTGGGAATGGAATGTAAAAGGCATACCATCTTCAGCAAAACTGGAAGGATCACTGTAACCACTGCAGTGGCTCATCGTTTCAATCGATGCATCCTCGTCACTGAATGGTTGAATATTCCGATGCTGGCCACCTGGGAAGTCAACAAAAGTGGAGGTAAGAGACTTTGCAGCCATCGATGCAAATATTTTACTTGGGAATCTTAGTAGTTACTTAAGAGGAATCCGGTCATAAAACCCCAAAACTTATTTAAGAAAACATGATTATGCTATAAAAGAACACACAAATATTTCTAAAATAAGTGAATTCACCTAATATGTACTTCTGGGCATGAACAATTTACAATATCCATCAACTTCAGAAATATCAATCATCTGGCAGCTCCAGATTACAGATGAAAAAACTACTTCCTAACTACTACCTCAACTGAGGAAGACAATGGAATGAGATCCAGAAATAAACTATGATGTCATAGGCCATCATAAGACTAAGACAAACATATTTCCCAACATTCACGACTTGGGAAACTAACTGGGGAATGGGTTTTTGGAATACACATGTCCTACGTGAAGGAATGTAAGGAGTTACAAGACGGTAGTTTTACAGATAACTGAACTGAGAGGGAAAAGAGGCTTAAAATGGAAGTTTTGGTATCTGATATAGCCCGTGAGGTAAATTACCTGAAAAGAAAGGTTCTAATGTAAGCAAAGGTTCTAATGTAAGTTTAAAAATATCAGTGCTGTTACTAAAAAATAAAATCTTTTTTTAAACTAGAATTTGTGAACTTCATTAACCTAAGTAATCCATATTCCTTGTCATTGTGATTTGTAGGAATTTCATATTAATAACAGGATTGCCCCATTATGAATTACATTGAGCAATGAGTTCAAATAAGTCCCAAATTCTGCCCAAAAGTTGACCTTGAGTCACTGATTTATTTACCTTGAGCCTGCTTCCTTATCAGTATATTAGAGGACTGCCAACTATCACTAGGTCCATATTCTAAAAAACATGTGACAGTTACTACCCTAAGTCAGTCTTAAAGGAATCCTCTGCATGTATCTCACTTGTTGTTGGGTTGTTTATTTATAATAGTGTTTTTCTTTTTGTAAAAATCAAAACAGAGAACTTAGCAGATTTTTTTACCAGCAGAGGAAGCAGCCTTCAACTGTGCTTGCTACCCTTAAGGGAATAAACTGCCTATCAAAACAGTAAGTCATAAGAAATAAGCAATGAAGCCAAGCTCCCAAAACTTTTTAATCAGAGTGCTTAGGGCAAGAATAAACAAACAAACAAAGCCCTATGACATCACTCTCTATTTCTGGATCTTCATTTTTTCCAGGATGTGAAGTCATGGCAACAGCCGAGTCATCTGCTTAACTTTTACTAACCTTCATTCATCAATTGACAATTTTCACATTCAGCCTATTTCTTACCCGTCAAGCAGACTATTCCCAGGCATGAGCTCCCGTCTCTAAATTTCCCACGACTTAAAGGAAATAGAGATTAAAAAAAAAAAAAAAAAAAAATCAAGGAAAAGAACCCTGTATGAGTGCCTAATATCTAAGTCAGAGTCACCCACCTCCTGACCCTAAGTGCCATTAATGAGGTGAACTACAGACACAGGGCCTTCCTTCTCGGAGAGCTGACTCAGCAAGGTCTTGTTTGCCCCTAAAAATTGCTCTCTTCAAAGTAAGTGCCATCACAAGTATGCACACCTGTATAATAGACCAATTTTATTTCCTTCCTTCAGCCCTCCACTAACTTTGGAAAACCCATTCAAGTTACGGAAGTTGGTTTTCTTTTATAAAATGTATTTTTATTGACCTCGGAGAGGGAGAGGAAAAGAATGATGAGAGAGAATCATTCGGGATGGAACCTGCCACCTGGGCACGTTCCCTGACCTTGAATTGAACTGTGCTCTCCTGGTTCATAGGTGGACGCTCAGCCACCGAGAACACTGGCCGGGCAGAAGCTGGTTATCTTGATTGTACGCGTAAATCTCAAACGAAGCCCATTTCTTCTAGATGCCAGTTAAAAAGACCAATCAAGTAAGTGGTTTTTAAGTACACGTATCTGACAATTTCCATCCCTTAACTATTATTTATTCATTTGTTTCCTGAATAAGAAGTACATGAACATGAAACCAAATTAAATTTTTAAAAAAGTCAATCTCACCTCACTACCCACTCTCCAGAGGCTGTGTCACGTTGCAGATGCTCAGAGCAAGCACAGCCTCATACATAACCGTCTTTTCCTACTGACACGTGTGGACGTTTAAGCACCCTTCCCACTGAAGCATGGAAAAGGTGGCAGCAGCCGAAACCGGTTTGGCTCAGTGGATAGAGCGTCGATCTGCGGATCTGAAAGGTCCCAGGTTCGATTCCGGTCAAGGGCATGTACATTGGTTGTGGGCACATCCCTGGTGTAGGGTGTGCAGGAGGCAGCTGATCAGTGTCTCTCTCATCGGTGTTTCTATCTTTCTTTCTCCTCTCCCTACCTCTCTGTGAAAAATCAATAAAATATACTAAAAAAAAAAAAAAATAGGCGGCAGCATTAGACTGGCCTTTCTGCGGGGTGCCGGAAGGAAGGAGGTCCAGCAGGAAGTCCCAGCCGGCAATACAGGTTTAGTTCTGAATCATGGCCATCAGCAACACCACCGCGGTATCCAGTGGCTTCAGCCTGCCGCTTCCCCTTTGTTTGTTTCACCAACAAAAGGCAAACTCAGAGGATAAAACAAGGACCGTCCAGACAGAAGGAAAATGCTTCCTTCAGAGGAAAAGCTGAACCACAGAAGGTTCAGAGGGACCCTCAGTTCACGGGGAGCAACCAGGCGCCACCACAAACTCCTTATGTGATCGAGAATGAACTTGAGGAACATCAAGAGCGTCCAAACCAAATACAGAGAGAAAGCAAGGACTGCATTTACAGCAACCCATTCCGAGCGAGAACTCGGAAACGTCAGTCCGCGCTCCCAGCGTCCCTGCCGGAACCCTGCGGGGAGGCCCGCACAGCCGCTGTCCCATCGCCCCTGCCCAGAGGCCCCTCCTGAGGCCGGAGGGAGCAGCCTTCCCCGGGGCACCGAGGCGTGCCAGCCCGAGCTTCCAGGTCACAAAGCCTCCGCCACCCCGGCGGCCGGCCCACGCCGAGCCCAGCGGGCGGCCGGGCTTTCTGCGGGAGGGAGGCCTTGAGCGTCAGCTGGCGGAGTGACCGGGGACCGGGCGTCAGACCGGGCAGTGCGCCCTGAGCCGGAGAAGCCGCCGTGAGCGAGGGCACGCCGGAGACTCAGCCTTCGGCCCGGGCGGCCCGAGCTCCCGCCGCCGCCGCCCCCGGCTCCCGCAGCGCCTCCGGACAAAGGAGAGCGCGGCCCGCCCCGGGGCGCACCGGACCCCCCCCCCCGCTACCCCAGGCGCCCCCCCGCCCCCCGGGGGCGCACCGGACCCCCCCCCACTACCCCAGGCGCCCCCCCGCCCCCCGGGGGCGCACCTACCCCCCCCCCGCTACCCCAGGCGCCCCCCCGCTCCCCCGGGGGGCGGCCCGCGGCAGGCGCGAGAGGGCAGCGGGCGGGAGGCCACATGGCCGCCTGCCTCTGCGTCACCGGCTCCGGCGCCCGGGGCCGCGCCGCGTGACCCACGGCCCGTCCAGGCCCGGCAGGCGCTCGGCATTCCCGGCAGCTCCACGCCGGCGCCGCGGCCGAAGCGACCGGGGACCGCAGGGGCGCTGGCAGGCACCGTCCGCTCCCCGACCCCCACCCCGCGCTCGGCGCCCGGTCCCCGGACCCCGACCCGCCCCGCCCCCACCGCCGGAGCCCTAGAGTTCGGAGCGCACGCCAGCGCTAAGTCCCGCGAGGTGCGGGGGCCCGGGGCACGCTGGGAGTTGGAGTTCGCCAGCCCTGCCCGGCGCCAGGCCGACGCACATCTCGAGCCAAAGAAGAACTACTACTCCCAGCATGCCCCCGGCGGAAAGACGCGCCAGGCCGGCCACCGGGACACCGGCGGCGGCGGGGAGACCCCCTTACCTGCCGTCGTCGCCGTCCCTGCATCTGCCCCGGAGCCGCCGCCGCCACCACCGCTGCCGCCGCCGCGGTGGGCAGTGGTCCGCTTCTTACTCTTCGGCATCGTGGGACGCCCGGTGCCGCCCAGACTCGGAGCTCAGCGAGGATCAGCCGATGGAGCTGCACTTTTTACTCGTGCGGCGGTGCGGCGGGTGGCTGAGCGGCGAGGCGTCGGCTAGCAGAGGCGAGGAGCGGCGTGGGTGAAGGCGGGCGCTGGCGGCTGCAGAAATCCCGGTGAAGAGCTGTGATCGGAAACGATACATGTTTCTCTCTAGCGCGGGAGCTAAGGCGGGGCGGACGCGGCCACGACGCCTTAAGTAGCAAGACGGCCGCCTGGTGTCAGCGCAGGTGGGTGGGGCTAGAGCTCGCGCTGGCCAATCCCCGTGCCTCTCCCCACCGGCGCGGCCGCTGGACGCGGACTACGGATCCCAGGCCGCCAGGACTCCATCGGCGCCCCGGGAGCCAGGCTTGTTGCCGCGTTGGACTCTGGGAAATGTAGTCCGCCTGGTGGAGACGTCCTCTCCTGGCGGCCCCGCCCCTGCTTCCGGGCCGGCGGGGAGTGGACCAGCAGCGGCCAAGGGCGGTGAGCCAGGGTACGCGTGATGACGACAGCCAGCCGGCCGACCCCTGGGAGCTGGGCCATCGGCGGCCCTTCCTCCAGCAGCTCGCGATCTCCTCCGCCTTTACCCTCCACCCCCCATCCTCCCGAGCGGCTGTGGCCCGGGGACAGCCCGGCGCCGCCGGGGCCACGATTCCGTGGCTCTAGCTGTTGAATTACCTTAGCGATCGCCAGTAACTGGAGCTGAACTCCCGATCAGGCCGAGAGCCTTTCCTTTCCAGAGAAAGGCGAGCCTGACCAGGTTAGTCGTGCGGTGCATGCGCTTCTCTTATTCTAGCCTGGAAAGAGCTGGCGGTTCAGGTAGCTCACGCCTCACCTGCCAGGTAGAAGGTCAGGCTCTGGGTTAGTTTCTGGGAACCTGACAGCTGGTAAAGCAGACAGGAGCTATAAATACCACTAATCGCAGTGTTTTGTTTTGTTTTGTTTACCCCATTCCCCCACCCCCAAGGTGATCCCATCTCTGTTTTCCTTGGGGCCTGTGCCATGTACTCTGGACCTGTTATTCCATTCGTGTTCCTAGGCTTAGGCAAGCCAAACTCGCTGACTCACCTCAGTGCTGGGGACTCCCACCTCTCCCCTGAGTTCCTCCTTTTCCTCCTCGCTGCCTGTGGCACATTGGCATCCGAAGGCTCCCATGCCCCTCAGCTCTCTTCCTGCCTTCCCTCTGTGGTCACTCTCCTGCTGTTCCCCCATGAATCCAAATCCGGAGCCTCACGCCCCTGTGTGGTTTCCTTCTCAGCTGGACATCACCCCCCTCCGGGAATAATAAAACCCTTTGAGTCCTAGCCTTCGACCACACGGGGCCTCGGTGCGTGCCTGGACATCATAAGGGACCTCCCAGTTGTGCCACCAATGCTTCATGGGCGATGAAGGTGCCAACCTTATTTACTCACACGCTTTACTAGTTGCTCAAGAACCCTCCCAGCCTCCCTTCACCCGTATATTGCATGCCGATCCTCTGAGCCTGGCCTGGCCCTCCTCTCAGCCCCATCTTTCACTGCTTCCCCGGACACCTCCTGATCCTCAGCCACCTGCCCGCTCCCCTCCCGAGCGGTCACTCACGTGGTCCCATGTTCTCCGTGCCCTAACTCCCATCCTCACCGTGCAAAAGCCGTCCGTCTCTCAGGGTTCAGCTCCAATGCCACCTCCTTCCTGAAGCCCCGGCCAGGTGGTCTTTTCCTCCTCAGGCCGCCTCAGTCTCCCCGGAGCGCCCCGGCCACACGGCCTGTTCAGACCCTGAAGCAGCACGCACCACACCGAGCGAGTCAACCAGATAAGGGTGCAGGCCGGTGGGCAGGGCTCCCACTGTGTCCCTGGGCCCTCCCTTCTGAGGGCTGGGGATCCGGGCCATGGCCTTGGCTGACACTGAGGGAGATGGCCCCCGGCTGAAGGGAGTACAGGACTATTTTATAACCCAGGCTCTTTATTGGCCAGAAACCACGTAGGTAACAATTTTGCTTCTCTCTGAGCCCTGAGGTCCAGGTTCCCAGCCTCGAAACTTGTGCTTTGCCTTGGCGCAGTCCTTGTATCTGCATCTACTCATGGCTGCTTGGGGGCTTTTCTGGGGCAACTAGCCACCTCATCAGGCACACACTGGTTTTACGTATATTTGTCCACACAACTGTCACTTCACGAAATTGTCAGCTCCCTGCAAAGAACCTTGTTTTCATCATCTCTGTCCCTCAAAGCACATAAAAGGGTTATCTTTGTCCTTATAGATACTGGATGTTCAGGGAATGTTAAGAAATTCCATTGACTAGGTTTTTCTGGGACCTGAAAAGGGAGCGACATGACACAGGTGCAGTGTTGCTGTCAGTGGGATGAACTCTGAGAGCTCCTTTTCCCACACTCAGCTTAGCTGGGTGTTACGTCTACAGTGTAACGCAGGCCGGTACAAAACAGAGATCTAGCCACAGGCCTCACAAGACAGGGATCCCAAAACAACTCAGTGGTTTGGCAACCTAGCTGAAGAAATTAGAAGACAGCAACACTGACAGCGTCTCTGGAAATAGAGGAGAAAAGGGGACAGGGCAACGAGCTGTCCCTACTCAGGCTCTGCCTGTTTCTTCAGGAAGAACACCCTCCCTAGGGTCTTCAGCCTACATGGAGTTGGCCTGGTGGGTCGTGGGTCATCTAGAAGGCCAGTGTTTGTGGTCGGGCTCGTTGATGATCCCAATGGGTAAGAATGAAGGGGGATCATGGATATAAGGCAGGCAACGGGCTGCGCTCACCTGTGGCCCGAGGCAAAATTCTCCCAAATAAGAATCACTTGTTTGTTACCAACCTGCCATCACGTGATGCCTCTTCCCTCCTCAGAAGGTGAATCCCCATTCCCTGCCTACAAAACACAACTGACTCAATCTTTTGATGCAAGAATAAATGTCACATTAACCTGAATCTGCAGACACACGTGAGGTCAACTCTGACCTCTCATCGGATATGCATATCGAGGACTTTGGTTCAAGAACAAGGAAGATAAACAAGCCTGGCCGGCGTGGCTCAGGGGTTGAGCGTCGACCTATGAACCAGAAGGTCCCAGTTCGATTCCCGGTCAGGGCACACGCCTGGTTGCTGGCTTGGTCCCAGTGTGGGGTGTGCAGGAGGCAGCCACTCAGGGATTCTCATCATTGATGTTTCTACCTCTCTCTCCCTCTCCCTTCCTCTCTGAAATAAATACAAACATATGTTTTTAAATGTGATACTGGAACCTCTCTTGATGCAGCAACTCGGCAGGATCTCAGAGATGGCAGTCGGCTTCATGGGGTTCTTTGCGTGGCAGTGAGTAACTCCTTCGGTTCCTCAGTCTAAGACTCACCGCTCACCAGCTGACGACACAGCCCCTCCCTCTGCCACATGGAGCTCCCAGAAGGTCTCCGAGTGCACTGTGCCCGAGCGGCCGGGCCCGGCTCAGGGTGGGCATTGCTCCCTCTCCATCCATCCGCACCTCTTTCCTCCGCTGCACGCAGGCTCAGTTGTCGGCCTCGCCAGCTCCCAATACCAAGTTCATTCCCCTTGGACTTTCTGCAGCTGCTCCGTCTGCCTGATAGGCTGTCTCCTGAGCTTCCCACACTGCCACTCTCATCTCAGCTTAGGTGACAGCTCCCCGCGGCCTCCCCCGCACCCCATGCACCGCCAGGCCTGTGCTCCCCCAGAGCTCCCCGTGCTGCCGGGCTGTCTGGCTCAGTTCCCGGAACGGGGAGAAGGGAGGCTTTGTTCTAGTCACTGCTTATCTCAGAGCCGCAACGTGGCGGATGCTCAGTCAGTGTACTGAGTGGAGAAGCGGGTAATTCAATGTCACTCCTGTACTGGCACCACCTCCACAGCCCCTCCTGTAAGCCACAGACCCTCGCCCCCTCTGACTTAAATCCCTCCTGCGCTCCTGGAGCACCTTCCCCAGGGGAGCATCGATTGTGTGCGCTGTCATTCTTGACTGGGCCCCACAGGGGGCAAAGTCCGGGCCATCAGCTGAGCGTGTGCAGCAGCTTCCTGCAGATGGGAGAGAGCCCAGCACCCACTGGGCGAGCCGTCTCAGGCCGCCCCCTCCCCCCTCCCGCGGGGAACAGCCCAGGCATCCGACCACAGAGGCCCTGCTGGACAACAGCTGTTTCCTCCAACGAGGAGTGGGTTGCCTCCGTCTCTGAGCCATGTTCTTAAAGGCAAAGAAGCTACTTACGGGGGAGAAGGAGACTTAGCTACTGGAGGTCCCCTCTGTGCGGGCGTGGTTCCAGGCTGTCTTCAGCGGCCGTGCTGAGGTGTGCTACGGTAAAAGCCTCACACGTCCAATGCACACGAGTAGAGTTTGGAGATAAGTGCAAACCATAAGGCCATCACCACAACCAATGCCTTGGACACATCCTTGGCCTGCAAGCTTCCATCTGTGTGTGTGTGTGTGTGTGTGTGTGTGTGTGTGTGTGTGTGTGTGTATGCGCTAAGAACACAATTCTAGGCTCTTTCCGCATGTACTTCTTACGCCACCCGGGAAGGGAAGACGAGCTGACCACTCTGGGATGAAGAAACGGGCTCGGAGCGGCTGTGCGACTTCCCTGAGGCCGGCCTATTGGCCAACAGAGAGTCCAGGCTGAGAGCTCGTGGGCGGCAGGGTCCTGCCGGCCTTGGCTCAGAACACGACTGCCTGTCCCCGGAGCCGTGGGGATGTTCTCAGTGACCCCCGGCCCCGGCCCGCCCAGGCGCCTCTGCTGGCCCTAAGGCTGCAGACCGACGTGCTCCGCCTCGGTCCGCGGTCCCCAGGCGGCGGTCTTCGTCCTGCGGCCGCCCGGCCCGGCCCGGCCCGGCCCTGGAATGGCAGCTCTCCTTCTGAACCGGCTGCCAGCGGGGGAGCCATGGTGCCCTCTGTGCCCCAAACACCGGGACAAGACGTCCCCACCCACACGATGAGAGGGTTCATGGGATGCTAAGCAGATAGGTCCCGGCTAACATTTCTTTGAAGGTTGTTGATTGGTTGGCTTGATTCCCATAGCTTAGGCTTTTCCGTGTGAAGGCATGATCTCACATTATTTCCATTTACACATCACTGACACGACTTCTATATTGGTTCTGAGGATGCTCACCCTAGCACCCGATGCTTCATAAGTGTAAGCTGTCATCACCACCATCATCACTGTCATCACCATCATCACCATCACC